ATTTCTATGGATCATTTTCAAGGGACAGGGGCTTTTGCAGCCCTGGGTGCTCAATTAAATTACCCTGGCTATGCCTATGATTTGACTTGGTGGGCCACTTTAGCAGCATGGAAAAAATTGCCCCAATCAGGATCAAAGAAGGGAGATTTAGGCAAGATTAAACAAGGCCCTGATGAGCCATTCCAGGACTTTGTCTCTCACCTCCTTCAGGCTGCAGGACAATTAATAAATGATCAAGAAACCAGCAATATATTAGTAAAAGAATTGGCCTTTGAAAATGCCAATGCAGTCTGCCAAGCAGCTCTTTGTCCCTGGAAGGGATGGGGCACCTTAAATGATTACATCAGACTTTGTGCAGACATAAGAACAGGATATATTGAAGTATTGTCTATGGCAGCTGCTTTGCAGGGACAAACCCTGCAAGAATGTTTGGCAATACAACATATTGAACGCAAAAAACGTGCCCCTGGCCCTCCAGGAAGTTGTTATAATTGTGGAAAAGTGGGGCGTATTGTCAAACAATGCTCTGATTCTCCAAAAGGTAATAATAATGCAAATAATAAGGTTAAAATTGATAAAAAGCCGAAAGCCCCAGGGTTATGTCCACACTGTAAGAGAGGAGTTCACTGGGCTAATGAAGGTTATTCTAAAAGAGATGAGGAAGGCAATTTACTACCCCCCCCCAGCAGGGAAACTCCAAGAGGGGCCAGCCCCAGGCCCAGCAACAAATCTTCGGGCAATTCAACCGAGAAACAATCCCTTTCAGACCTCTCCAGAGCAACTCCAGGAAGCGCAGGATTGGACTTCAGTTCCACCACCCACATCATATTAAACCCAGAGCTAGGAGTCCAACTGATACCTACTGGTATTTACGGCCCATTACCTCCAAACCATTGGGGGTTTTTACTAGGGAGAAGTGGGTTTACTTTAAAAGGACTTATAGTACTTCCTGGAGTGATAGATCAAGATTATGAGGGAGAAATTAAAGTTATGGCTAAAACTGATACAGTAGTCATTAATATACCTCTGGGTACTCGTATAGCACAGTTATTATTGTTGCCCCTTATTCAAGGAAAACAAAAGATGCTTAGGAAAAAACGAGGCACCCAAGGGTTTGGCTCCTCTGATGCTTTCCTTATTCGACAAATACAAGAGACAGGCTAGAATGCTTACTAAAAATACAGGGAAAAACTTTTCTTGGAATAATGGATACAGGGGCTGGTGTTTCTGTTATAAGACAAGATTGGCCTTCATCCTGGCCCTTGGATCCTGCCCCTGCCATTCTCCAAGGAATGGGGCAAGCCTCCGCTCCTTTTAAATCCTCTTCTATATTATCTTGGGCTGATTTAGAGGGACATACTGGAGAATTCCAACCATATGTTTTACCTAATCTTTCCCTAAATTTGTGGGGACGAGACATACTAAGCCAAATGGGAGTGTACTTGTGGAGTCCAAGTCCCACTGTAACCAAACAGTTGTTGCAAATGGGCCAATTGCCACTTGCAGGCTTGGGAAAAAATAATCAAGGTATCAAAGACCCTTTATCCATCCCACAAAAAGTTAATAAACAGGGCTTGGGTTTTTCTTAGTGACCGCTGATCGTCCTGCTATCCATGCTGATAAAATTAATTGGAAATCTGATACACTGGTATGGGTAGATCAGTGGCCCATGCCTGAGGCTAAACTCCAAGCCGCCAGGCAATTAGTGCAGGAACAGTTAGTCTGTGGTCATATCCGACCTTCCTCCTCCCCCTGGAATTTGCCTATATTTGTGATAAAAAAGAAATCAGGAAAATGGAGGTTATTACAAGACCTTAGAAAAATTAATGCTACTATGTTTCCTATGGGGGCTCTTCAGCCTGGACTTCCATCACTTATGGCAATACCTCTGTCACATCATCATATTGTTCTTGATTTGAAAGATTGTTTTTATACTATCCCTCTCCACCCCGAGGATTGCAAGAGGTTTTCTTTTAGTATTCCTTCCTGTAATTTGTCCTCACCTATGGAAAGATGTGAGTGGATTGTGTTACCTCAAGGAATGGTTAATAGCCCACCTTGTGTCAAATGTTTGTACATGCAGCCATTGCCAATACCAGATCTAAATTTGCCTCTGCCACCATTATTCATTATATGGATGATATTTTAATAGCCCATCAATATTCTGAGATACTTTTGCAAGTATATGCCTCTCTTCATCAGGATTTAACGAATAATGGGCTGGTCATCGCATCTGAGAAGGTCCAAACTTCACCTCTTTTTTCTTATCTAGGTTTTCACTTATATCCACAGCATTTTTCTACTCAACGATTGTCTGTTAATACTTCTCACTTGCCTACTTTACATGACTTTCAAAAACTCTTAGGCGAAATTAATTGGATCCGTGTCTGTAAAGTTAACTACTCAAGACCTCCACCCATTGTTTTCCTTATTAGCTGGAGATTCTGACCCAAGTTCACACCGCCAAATGACAGCAGAAGCTCAAAAAGCTCTGGTTAGTAAGGCTCTTCAAAGTGTGTAGCTTCATTATTGTGATTATTCCACTCCCAGGTGTCTTATCATCATACCCATGTCCTTTTCTCCTACAGGTGTGTTATATCAGCAGGGAGTTCTCTCATGGATTCATGGATTCATGGTTCACATTGCCTGAAAAGGGCTCTCCCCACTTACACCTCTTTGGTTGCAGAAAGGATTATGCAAGGAAGGAAATTGTCTATAATGCATTTAGGAAGAGACCCTCACTCTATTATAATCCCTTAAACATCTGAACAGCTGGAATGGTTGCTTAATATGACTGATTATTTTCCTCTTTCTCTAGTGTCCTATACCAGTCAAATCCAACATCATTATCCCAAGGATAAAATTCTTCAATTTGCCTCTAAAGTTATCTTTTCATTTCCTCAAATCATACTCATGAAACCCCTTGTTAATGCTATTACTTTATTTTCAGATGGAAGCTCCAATGGAAAAGCTACTTTGGTATCCCCAAATCAAACCTATGTATGGCAATTGAGGAATACTTCAGCTCAGGAGACTGAACTTTATGCTGTTCATCAGGCTTTTATTCTTTTCTTTGATGTTCCCTTTACTTTGCTTTCAGACAGCTAATATGTAGTACAAGCCTTGTCTGTTTTAGAATGTGTACCTGTTATCAACACTGCTAATATCTTGTTGCACAGTTATTTGGTCTCATTCAATCATCTTTACATTCTCGATTTGCACCTTGTTTTGTAGGACATATTCACAGTCACTCTAATCTCCCAGGCGCTTTGACTCATGGAAATGCAATTTCAGATCGAGCCACGCATATTGGTCTGCTGTTTCACAAACACAACAGCCACATGCTCTTCATCACCAAGCTGCACAGGTTTTACGTTATCAATATGGTATAACACGGCAGCAAGCACGAGAAATTGTTAAAAACTGTCCCTCATGTGCGCCTCTCCTTCCAGTACCTCATTTTGGAGTCAACCCTGGAGGACTCTGTCCAAACGACATCTGGCAGATGGATGTCACTCATTATCCTTTTTTGGGGTCATTAAAATACCTGCACATTACCATAGACACCTTTTCTCATTACATGCTTGTTTCACCTATGACTGGAGAAACTGCCACCCATGTAATACAACACCTACTATATTGTTTCTCTATCATGGCATTCTTCGATCCATTAAAACTGATAATGGCCCAGCATATGTTAGTAAACCCTTTGTCAAATTCTGTCAGACTTTCCATATTAAACATGTTACTGGATTGCCTTATAACCCTCAAGGACAAGGAATTGGTCAACATGCTAATCTCTCACTAAAAAACACAATAAATTAAAAAGAGAGAGATGGTATAAGTATTCTCCCAAAACCCTTCTTAACCATGCTGTTTACATTCTTAATTTTTTAACTTTTGATGCTTCTAATAGATCTGCAGCTGAGAGACATTGGTATTCTGATTTGCCCTCCAAGCCAATGGTTTATTGGAAAGACCCATTAACTAATCTATTACATGGTCCTGACCCAGTATTGATATGGGGAAGAGGATATGTTTGTGTTTTTCCCACAGATGCTGATACACCCAGGTGGATCCCAGAACATTGTGTATGACATGCCCAAGAGCAAGATAGAAAAATTGTGCAGGACGATGCTTCGACTAACTGTGACCTCGAGGACGAGAACAACAACCAGAAGGCCTCCTGCTACAAAAGATGAAACTCTTCTGTTTTTGGCCCAATTGCTAAGCATTATTTGGATTTTGCATACATTTCATATGCCTGTGCAGGTGGATAATTATTGGGCATTTATACCTAATCCTTCTTCCTTGCACCCTATGTAATGGGGCGACAACGATGATGTTACTGTTTATGTAAATAATACTAGTGTCTTAAGTTTTTCTTCTTCCACTCATATACAACCTATCTCTATTGTATATAATTACCCTGGAATGTCTACTTCATTACCCCTATGTTTTTCTAAAACAAATAAGAATTTTACATTAATAGAAAGATATTCTGATTGGGATGGAAACTTTACTAATGGAATGCACTGGGGAGTAGATATGATGTATGTATTTCGCAACAGTAGTGAAACTAGAGTGGGAAAAGTTAATTCCCCTGAGCATATTCCAGAATATAGACAAAAATACTCAAGCAAAAGTGTATATGGACCCTCATGGCATTTGTGCCATCATAATTATACTATATGTTACAAAGATCTATGTGATTGGAGTGATTACAGAGAAATAACCTACAGGCCCTGAAATTTATTATATGGAATATGGACAATGAATAACATCACCTTTTTTACCATGCTGTGGAAGTTGGTTGCAGTGCTTGATTATATTGCTGTTGCAAAAGAAAACGTTGTATTGCAACATATAGGGACACAGGATGCTATTTCTGTTAATGGCACAGTAAAAAATATAACTATCATAGCTTGTGTTTCTGAACCATATGGTGTTACAAGTGGAGAACTTACTGTAAATAAGAACAATGAATCTTACAAACTTACTTGTAAAGATTGCATCTTATCCAGTTGTGTTAATGCTTCATGAAACCACTCATCCATATTACTGGTCAAACAACCTCCATTTGTATTTTTACCTGTTAATATCACCACAGAGTGGTATCAAGATCCTTCTGTGATTATTTTGCAAAAATTAACTAACCTTTTAAATCGGGCCAAATGATTTGTTGGGGTGTTAATGACGGGAATTGCTGCACTTATTACTTTAATAGCCTCCACTGCAATGTCTGCAATATCTCTTATGGAAAGTGTGCAAACTGCATCCTATGGCAATGAATTATCACATAATGTTTCTTTGGTTTTGAAAATACAGGAAAATTGGGATACCCTGATTGAACAAAAATTAAATGCTCTACAAGATACAGTAATAACCTTAGGAGACTAATTATATGCTTTGCAAGTACAATCTTCTTTGAAATGTCATGCCTTATACAAACATATTTGTGTTACTTCATATAGATATAATGAAAGTGATGTACTTTGGGATAGGGTGAAAAATCATTTGCTAGGAATATGGCATAATTCCAACACTTCTCTAGATTTGCTTATGCTGCATAAAACTATCCAAGATATAACCAATGCACCAGCAACAGAAGTTGACATAGCAAAAGGAACTGAGCAAATATTCAACGCATTAACCAGCCATTTCCCAAGGCTCACGGGCATTTCGCATTTTATCATTCTAGCTGGTATTGGAGCTCTAGCATTTATTGTCATGATAACAATATTTCCATATTTTGTGAGAATTGTTGTTGGGCTAATGAGAAATGTGCCTTTGGACTTGAAACGTTTTAAATTAGAATCAACTGCTAATGAAATTCTCATGCGATGCTTTGTCTAAGAAATAAGAGGGATATGTTGGGAGCGGAACCAGGAGTCCTGCAGTGAATGGGTGTGGAAAACCACACACTGAAGCTGGACCTCAACCAGTTCCTCATCCTGCAGTAACCTCAGCCTTCTAGACAAAGCATCGCGCTGATATTAACCTGGGAATAGCTTCATAACATAAACAAAAGAAGTTTCTCATGGGCCCAGGAACATGTTTACCTTCTGGGCTGCACAACATAGAAGTTTCTCATGGGCCCAAGAACATGATTACCTTTGCTGTATGCACAAGAAAGTGTTCTGAAGTGACTTGTATTGCTCTTTGTTTTGAAACATTATAAAAATTCTGGAGTCCTTCAATAAATCGCCTTTTGCCTCTTGAGCAACTGGTCTCCCTGTGTCTTCAGTCTCTTGCCTGACTCCTTCCCTGCGCTGGCCGTGGCACCTGGCAATATACATTTTGAGAAGATTTTAGAATTAATACGACTTTTTATACGCATCATTTAATGTGAAGGTTGAGAAGGCTCATTTCAGAGCATTTAATGATAGATATATTTTAATTCCTAAATAGAAAATTGAACTTAATAAGAAAAATTTTTTCAAAATTCTATAAAGAATCATGTTGGTATCACCTGTATAAGCCCTTAATGTCCTCGTGTACTGTCAAAAATAGATTTATTGAGTTTTATAGAAACTATTATTGAATGTTAAAGAAAATTACAGAAGGCAAGTTCTGTGACAAAACACCAATGGTTTCACTGCAGATTTACTATTTCTTACAACAATCTAAACAGCACATGTTTATATGGTCCCACCTGGCCCTATAACATAAAGCATACCCGAGGATTTCTAAGAGTGTTTGATGATTTTATATTCCTATCATTTTGCCTAAAATATCAAACTCTTCTAATACTACAGTCACACAAGATCATGTCCAAGGGCACAGGGCATAGAGAAAATTTAAGTATAATATCAGGTGATTTATTAAGGTCACTAAGAATGAAACGTGAGGATACCAGGATGGTCAGATACTGACCTACTTGGACAAGTGCATTTATGATTATGCTTACTCTGGTTAAGCAGCTACACTCTGTGAACCACATAAGGACTTTTCTACACCTTGCTGTGAAAAAGTAGAATGAGTTCTATCAGCCAAATGCTGATGTCCACTTGATAGATACCTTGTTGCATTGTGAAGCATCTTCTGAAACTGTTCATTCTGTATGGCCTCATAACTATATGCAAAGATAGATCAATCAAACAATACAAAGTAAATAAACACTATGAACTCTTGTTAAATAGATTTCAGGTGAACAGAACCTAGAAGAAGGGAAAGTTATATAAGTTTGCTTGTTCCCTTAGTTTAATAACTGCTATTTTTCACCAAGTACTGACCTGGCATTTTAGTCATTGGTTTTTCACATGACACTTTGGATTAGCATTAAGAACTGCAGTAATGAAAGAGCTCTCGTCCCTACCACTATATATATACATAGATTTAAAGATCAAATGATATAATAGTACTACTTGAATGCTGAGACACGGTATTTTAAGGCAAGTTTTGAAGTTAGAAATTACATGTGCTTTGCAATTTATCATTTTTGAATGTATAACTCAATGATTATGTGTTTATCCCCTGAATTTTGTGATGCTTGTGTATATGGAGTCAACTAATTTTTCTCTTGACTTAGTTCACATTACATTCCTATAAAAATTACTTTTAACATAGCAAATTTTAATTAAGAGCAGTTCAATTTACATGAGATTTCCATGGTTCGAAACTCAGAGATTTTGAAGAATAAAGTGTTGAAAACAGGATTTGGGATACACGTTTGTGATTTTGCTCTGCTCCAGAGAGCCTAGTGAGAGAATAACCAAGGTTTTACTACTGGATAATGGGTCAATATCTTGATTATATCACTTGATGCTATTGAACAGAAAATTGTTTGAAACGGTGTTTCATTTAATCTAAGTCATGCAATATTTATAATTTAGAAAACACTTATTAAAGTAATGGTCTTTTACATTTCAATGTATTCTTTCCCACATTAGTCACCTTCATGTGATTGCAGGAAAATATCTGGGACAATCAAGTTCTTGTGTGAAAGTCTTAGTTTCATAAAGAGTGTGGGGCATTTGAATAGTCTTTTGGAACCAATGTTGTTGGGCCTCAGGTGTGACCCATGTACATATCAGTATGGGCCTGTGACATAAGAATTCCCTTATCTTATGGCAAAGAAAATGTCAGTGGAATGATAAGAGCGAGGTTGCTAATGTTCTCCATACTGGATAAAATATTCCTTGCACTTGCACTTGATCTCAATTACAAAATGTTCTCCAACCTCATGATATTATTATGGATAGTGGGTCAAGTTTTGAATACACAGATATCTGTGGGACAATAAAGACCAAGCATATAGCATTCCTTCATCTTTCAAAAGGCTGATATTGTGAAATAGACAGATGTTTCATTGATACAACATGAAAATCTTGTTTGGGAAAACTTTGATTTACAAGTATAATTCTTTCCAGAAACATCAATATAACCTAAAGCACTAAAATATAAAAGTGATTTCCCCTTAATAAATAAAAAGAGGACATAAGAACAATTCAACAACATAAACTATTAATATATATGTATATATATATATATATATATATATATAATATATGAGTAGCTTTATTTTTATTACATCGATATATAACAAAAGTGTTATACAATACAAAACATGAAGAAAGTAACCTACAATGACCTTTAATACATCTAGTACTAATGTGAAACAGACATGAGACAGGAGGGTGATTGCATAGGTTGACTTACATTATCAATACAGGAATCATGGTTATTTACTGGCTCAGTGTACTTTCTTTCTTTTCATGAAAATTAATGGAGAATGTATCTAAAGACAATGGCTTTTGCCTCTTAGGATTTCAAAGAAATGTGATGTTGGTTTGTTACTAAACAGATCACTCACCTGAATTTATCCTCTTCTGGTTGATGCTATCCTGCAAAATTTTGCACTGCTTCCCTGATTTAATACTTCTCACTGATGTGATTTGAAGTGAGCTTATGTTCTGTATCATTCTGTTCCTTTTTGCTGATGAGATCTCTTCCATGAACCATGGGTTTTGTGAGAGGTTCACCAATAACTTTGCAGTGAAAGTAAAACCATTGTCTGTTTTGCGTGACATTTGGCATGGTGTAATATGCAAACTGCAAGACAGCAATTCCTGCTTAAGTTAAAATTGATTAGAAATATGTGGTGAGCCTGTGGAATACTCCCAGACAAGATTCTTCAAACTATTATTATTTATAGAAAGTTGCATTTATTTCATGTCCACTAAACAGTCCAATAAACAGTCCAATAAACAGTAACAGTTTAATATTTGTTATGCTACCTACAGTTTCTAAATTAAGTCATTACATGACTAACTGAAATTATACCTTTAAGAAAATCAGTGAAATGGTGTGGCATCACAGATTGCATGTTTTCATAATGTTATAATATTCACATTATTTTAATAAGTTCTGATCTTCTTTATGAGAAGGTGCTATAAACGTTGCTTATATTCACACTTCTTTTACCTCTATATATCTTCATGTGAGTGGAAATTGGAAATAATAACTATTTTAATTTTTAACTCTGGTGATATTGTTTGTATTTTTACTTGATGCCAAATGTTCTGTTTGTTTTTAAACAATACAAAAATTACATGATTTAATAATTAGTGAAAGCAAGCAATGGTGAGGAATACATTTTATGTAATAAATAACAAGGGAACTGCCTTCATAATATTGATGTGGATGGAAATTTATGTTTACAACTAAATAATATCAGCACCTCTTGCAATTTGTAATGTTTGAGCTGTTGTTCAAATTACTCTTTGCCCTCATCCTTCACCTCTGTCCTTTCCATTATCCTCATATACTTTGATGGGACTTTCTGCTTATATCATTTGGGAAATCTCTCGAGAAAAGCAATCAACTACTTAGAATATTCAGCAAGATTTTCTGCTTTTCTAGTTAGTAAAAGTCACTATAGACACTTAAAATTTTGCATTTCAACTGAGAATTATGTTACATGCTTGAATAAATTTTCAGTTTTATATTGATTCCATTAGGCGTGTAAAAACAACTTGTGAGAAATATGGTAGCAGTTTAAATAACAAGGCTTGCTTTCTCATATCTCACAATAAAATTTTATATTTCATACTTGTTCATTTGAGTGCTAAATCTCATGCATTTACTTTTAGCTCAATTTAACTCATCTCTCTAGAACACTGCCTAAGAATACCAAATTGATCTTCTGAAGAAAACATGCTTTAAAAATAGAGGAATAATTGAAATTCATGTTACACATTAACAAAGTAATATTTTTAATAATATGTGAATGTGTCATTATAACAATGCACTTTAATAGAAAAATTAATGATACTTCTTATTAATGCTTTTGTGTTTCTGTTCCTCCCTTCCAAACTTTATGCAAATTCCTATATTCAGTGTGGCCTACCTCATGGTGAAAGGCATTAGTTATGAACCATCCAGCTATTATATTTTTCCAACTTTAACATCGCCTATTTTTTTATATTGGTAGAGTCATTAAAGATAGATGAGTATGCTATACAAATTCCCTGAAATAGTTGAGTATAAGTCGATTCATTGTTTAAAGCCTCTACACATCAAAAACGTGATACATACATGATTATTCATGCAAAGTGCAATTTATATTTTTCTAGATTTTGCACATATATTTAAATAAATTATTTGGTTAGCATTTCATATATAATGTTGCATTAGTGTGTTTTAAACACAAATCATTACTAAATTAACCACCATACAATTAAACCTATATTTGATTTCTCTCTAAATATGTGATAGCAACATATAAATTTTAGACATTTTGAGATCCATAAAAAATTCATATTTTCATTTCAGTAAAGATGATGTTGTGTGGAGTACTCACTATAACTCAAAAAACTGTATGTTATTCTGACATCTTGGTTCTTCAAGTGAACTTTCATATTCATTATATTACAAGTTCACGCTTAGTGAATATTTCTGCATCTAGCTACTAGTTAATCATTAACAATGACAGCGTTGATTTTTATATACTTATATAAATTGAACATGAAAACTTCATGAGGAACTTAGCCCCCAAAGTGAAAGATTTGTACGTGTTTATTACTGAAATTTGGAAAATATATTTCTGAAGAGCCTCTCAAAAAGATCAGATATTTCTTCTATAATTTTTACAATAAAAAGTAATATGGTAAAATATTTCTTCTGAAAATCATACATGAAGTGACTGATTCATTTCATAAAACTGTGTACAAAATCATCTCTACACAAAAACACATAGTAAATTTCAAGTTGCCGATTTATTGAGATTATAAGAATGGAAACTGACTGTCACAAAACTCACCTCATGAGCTCTCAGGTACTTCATCCAGAATTGTCCATCTATTCATCCAGTGACTGGGTTTTGTGAGCTATGCCAGAACTTTCCAACAATTTCTCTAAAGTAGCACACAGGTTGGGTTGAGACAAAAAAATAATACTGCTTAACAGGGACCATTACATGCTATAAAGCTTCTTTCATAACTTGTGGTCATTTACCGTTTTCTCCACTTGCATGCAAAGATATAGTAATGAGGAAGTTAAACTATGGCTCAGTTTAGAAGAAACAGACAACAAGTTCAGTCAAGTTGGCCACCAAACCCCAAGTTTCACTGCACCATGGTCCAAGTGGGCATCTCTGGTGGTCAAGGGGCCATCAGATTCTAGTATCATTCACATATCACTGCTTTCCCAGCCATGCAGAATGCAGAAGCCATGAGTCTTGGAGGCTTTCACTAAGATTACCGCAGGTTCCTTGGGAGCCAGAAAATGGTCCACTAATTGTGTTGTGTGTTTAGCTGTGTTGATAATACGTAAAGTACAGTGGAGGCCCTAGGAAGTTTGAAATACCAAGAACACTGATAATCTGCTAAGGAATGGTGCACAGAATTTACAGAGCAACTCTAAGAAAGAAGACACATGCTGTGTAATTGGAAATGCCATTATCATTGAGGAGCTCAAATAATTTGGAGCTAATAACTCCAAATTATCTTCAGGTGCTAGATGTAAAATGTAAAATATAGTGTTTTCCTTGTGGTATTTTGTTTTTTCCTAATATGAAATTTTGGAATGGAAATGCCTCCCGTGTGCAATTGTATGTTGGAATACTTTATGATTATTTAGATTTTCCAGAGACAGCTAGAAGTTTCTTGGAATGTTACAGGGTACTTCAGATTTCAAATTTGTAGAAATTTTTGAAGAAACTGCAGTAAGTGATCTAAATGCATTTTGCATGTGACATACAAAAGTCTTTAGATATCTAAGAGAGGAGTGCTGTACTTTAGTGCTAAAATGTCTTTCTCAAATTCTTATATTTATTTGTTGAGAGTCATTGAAACTGGAAATTGAAGACAAGAACAGGGCTGCCCCATGAACAGTGCATGGCTTACTGGAGAACAGTGAGATGACTCAAAGGGCAATGCAGGTTCTTCTGCATGCCTGCCTTCTGGTGTAATTTTGCCAAAAGCCTGCCTGTAACACTCTCACCTCATGCTTGACTGTTACTCTTAGAAGCCTCCCACTTTCCCACAAGGCCTAGTTATCTGAAATGCACACTGAGATTTATATAGACTGTGTTTTTGAACACTGGGTGCCTCTTGTCCACTGATAAAAATTTAGGAATTTTCATGTCTATATTTCCAACCCTTTTCAGGTTCCTTACACAAAAGACAATGCCTTCAATACCACATATTCAGGTAGAATCAAAGTAGTAGGCTCATTTGGGATGCCAATTTTATGTGTCACATATTTTCCCACTGCTAGGACAACTTATCCAACATATACATAATTTAAAACAGGAAAGCGTTTTTTTCCCCCTCACAGTGGAAAGATGCTTCCTGGGTCCACTCAATCCGAGACAGAAATCCAATGGTGGAAGTTTGTTTCTCAATCAATGACAGCCAGATTGCAGACCAGAGAAATCGCACAGTGAGAAATGAATGAGGGGCTACACAGATCTCAGGGAACCACATCATGAACTACACTGTGCCTTGGCTTGAAATGTACTTCACAAAACCTGTGGGCAGATACATAAGTTTGTCAAGGTATAACCTACAAGTGCTTTTAAAAAAACCATGCTGGTTATTTTTAAAATTAAATTGTCAAATAAAAATCTCAAATGAATCAATTCTTTCTTTCTATGAGTTAGTTAGTTTCTATGAGTTAGTTTCTTTCTATGAGTTAGTCTTTCTATGAGTCAGTTGATAACAATGTATGAGAGTTACTCAGCTTCTTAGGAGAAAAGATTTATTTTGGCTGAAAGTGTTGAAGGTTTCAATCCATTGACAGGTGTGACCACTAATGTTGGACATTGTACAAGACACATAAGATTGGAGTGTGTGGCAGAGGAAACTCATTACCTCAAGGCTGAGAATCAGAAAAAATGAGGAGAAGTGAAAATAGGGGATTGATATCTGTTTCCAAGCCTCATCCTCAGCACTGGCTTCTTCATCTTCACCCCAACTACTAGAAGATTTACTGCATCCTAAACACCATCTACTGGGGACAAAACCTCCAACACTTTGCCTTTTAAAAGACATAAAGATCTAAATATATTTTATTTCTGTTAAAATAATTTAGAGGAGCAAAAATTTTCATGTATAGTATATCAAAGCCATAACCTCATTTGTGCACTCATTATTTCTTTTTCCTTTGCTAATGAGTACCAAATTTCACTTGTCATGAACTTGCTTACATCACTGGATTACATACCAGGGATTCATTACTTTCTATATTCATCTTGTAATCACAGTGTAAGAATCACATAATGTTTTGAATACAAAATGTGCATTCTATTACTAATCTTTTGCACATTCTTATAGGAAATCAGAAGCAATTAATACTTTCCAAGTATTTACCACACAAATTATAGCTCAGAGTATTCTTTAAATTTCCAATTGTAGCCTGAAGACATTGGTTTACATAAAAGATTACTGTATTACTTTTATGACTTTCACTGAGCCTGAAAGAACTCTCTGAATCTAGTAACTGGCATCCTGCAAATCAATTTATGTTCAATATTTTATTTAAATATTTAGCTGGCTCACT